AATTTGAAGAAATGCACTCTTAATATCCACTCAACTTTGCTCAAATATTAGGCCAAAATAAATTGGCCTAAAAATTTTGACAAATATATTTGGTCAAAAATAAATTTAGAGACGTACTTTCCCATACATAATGAAATGACGTTACCCTAGTTTACATAAGTGTCAAAGTATTTAAGGTTTCATATTTTATAGTAATTTGATACTTTCAAGGGCAATAGTTTTGGGGATAGAAATTTTAAAAGAAAATTAAAAACTTGTAACTGAAATTAATGAGTTACACCTATAATAGCAAGCATTAAAAATAAACTAAATCACCACTAACGTAGGTAAATAAACTCTGTATTTATTCTATAACCTTACAATGTAAATGTCAAGAACCCTTCCTTAAACAAAATAACATTTATAGGTAAGAAATGATGGAAGACACTGAGAGTACAACGGTTTTTCCGAAAGGCAGACTCAAAGTTTTTTTCTTTGCTCATCTCCAGAGTGTTAAGCCAATAACCAAACAGAAAAAATAATTAATGCAAAATCATTCATCATTGTTAAAAAAATTTTAACTGACTTGTCATGTGAATGAAGAGCACTTTTAAAATAATAGTTACTAGAATTCAAGAATACATGTCATATGATATAATGACCTATTTCCAACGGTTCCAGGGAGTGATTCCTTGCATCGTTAAGAGGAGCTAGAATAACCATTTAATGCTAGGACTATGTAGAAGAATAGTTTTTCAGCTAATTTAACTTTTAAATTAATTAATTTCACCCTAAGTTTCAACTGGGAGGTCCAAATGGGACCAATGAATATACCTACCTCCAAATAAGCTGATACCTATACCATAAGCATTAATGGATTTTTTTAAACTGAGTGTTTTTAAATTTAAAATTCCCTTTAATATTTTTAACTCCTCCAATTGAAAAGGCTAATTTTTTTCTGAATGGCATGCCTAAATTAGTCTCATGAAATAAGTTAACAAAATGTTTATTTCTGATACGAAGAAGGAAGCATTGTTAGACCAAAATAAATTGGCATGTAATTACGAAGGCCAAAGTTTTCTGATTGCTATATGGATCCCATTATTGCGGGTGCTTTGGAAAGAGACATGTAAAGTTCAATTACAACACTGCTCAGAAGTCTAGACAATGCCTGTCTAAGAAATTTTTAAAATGTGTAGCTCACTTGTAGATTATGCTCATGTAAACAATGCAAACACACCTCAATGAAAGAAAAATCATAGTAGTACATTACTTACAAAAAAATGTTTAGGCTACCAGAGATAATTCAATTCTGACACTGCTTTCTAGGGAAGAAAGGAAAATGCTTACAAATTTAACTGAACCTGAAAAAAAATCAAAGTAGAAGAAAAGGTAAGGGAACAAGTCGGGGGAGAGGAGCGGAAGGGAGGAGGGTAGTAAGACAGAAAGAATGGTGGGGAAATGTGCTGACAAAATCCTTAGCAACACAAGGTTATTAAGCTCTGAGGACACTGATACTTTAATGCTAAAACAGATGCTCTACTCCCCTTTATCTTTATCTTCTCCCATTTTTCGTCCCAAAGAGGTCCTTGAATTAGATATATCAGTATTTAAATCAAAGATTTACTTGCTAATTGGATTAAGCCCTGGAGGCAGTACCAGTTCCCAGCTGATCTAGATACATCCTTTGGCTTTTAGTGGGTATATATATTTCATTTTGTTTCTGTTTTTTTTTTTTTATGTCCAAGACCAAGTGCTGATTTTCCTGTATAGGTTCTAGAGGCATAATTTGTGTGTGCAACTCAAACATTTGACAAACATAAGATACCAATCTGCTCAGGACTTACTATTAATTAAATATGATTGTGCATATCACCTTGCTTTCCAAATCAAGGTATACAGCAGTGGGGATAAGTGATGTTAATTTTAAAAATTTAAATATTTTTATATTAAAATAAACATTATGGAGTAATAGATGCAAAAATCTGCATGAATTAAACGAAGACTGCAAAGAATCATAGATTTCTCAAAGGGTCACACTGAACTAGGCCTTCAGGAATTCTGGAGTACAAGCACATTTGCTCAGATTCTTCTGTCATTATTGGTGCACTTGGCAGAAGATGACTAAAAAGTGTTTTCTCTACTGCAATGATCCCTTATGTAATATATTTTTTTTCCTACTACTGTTTATAATACTTTACCCAATTTAAAATTACTACTATAGCATTTATAATCAAACATCTGAAAGGGAATACCATCTAAAGATGTAGAATGATATAAATTATTTTTTAGAGAGTTAATACAAAAGGCATATGTAGATACAAAAGGCATATGTAGATCTGAGGCATATGTACATAAATATTCCCATTATTTCTGATGCCTTTATAAGTTTTAGTGAAACAGCACAAAGTTTTAAAAACAGAGAAATACAAAAAGATAGATTTTTTTCCTAAATAACCATTTTCCCCTTTAAATTTTTTTGTGAGTTTTACATATAAAAATTCTTATATGTAATTTCATTCATATTTAAATTTTGCTTTAAAATTCTCAACTACACATTTGGCCTATGGTGCCAAAAACTAGAACATAAAGCTCATAATTTGTTCAAGTGTGAATCATTCAAGTATACAATTTTAGTTCTGATAGTAAATGGTGCTTACAGATTTGGTATCTGGAACTCACTGGAAATAGTTACTCAACTTACCTGGTGCTAATCCAGCAGTAGCAGGGCTTCCCATGGATGGGTGAGAGAAAACTTGAGAGAAGGCAGACATATTTGACTGGGACACGTTACTCAGCCTGGAGGTTGATCCTCCTTTAGGAATAAACTCGCTTGCAGTAGGATTTGGTGTCTATTTAAAAATCAAATATAGTAAGTTAACACACTTTAAGCCAAAAAAAAAGACATTGAATCTACTAGGCATATTCCACAGTGCTTTATTTACTAAGTAAAATATATTCTTGAAAGGATTAACAAGTGTTTTAGGTTCCATATTTTGGTAGGTCATAATTAAATTTCTTAAAGGAAATTTGATCATCAAACTTGAAGATTTTAATCATTTCATTTGCAGAATTTTAACCTCAGTAATGTGTAAAATTTGTCTTCATTATCAAGCATGCATCATTACCAAACTACTATGTTTTAGAGAACCGGGAGGTTGAGATTACCTCAAAACTGAGCGACAAGTTTCGAGTTTAGTATCTTTAAACCACTTCTACCAAGATAAAGGTCAAAACTGTTTTCTTCCAATATTAATCACTTTCTTTTTTGTAGTTACTTCAAACATTTCCCTAATAATATGGTATCATGTATTTAAGTAACAAAGTAAAGGTTAGAAAAACATTTAAAAACAAGGCAAATATGGGACGAATCAAGATATAAGAAAAACTAAAGTGATCCTAATGCCCATACAGTACCATGTGTGACTTGTTACACTGAAAAATATTTGGCTATGAGATTACGTGGAAAACATCTTTTTCACAGTGGTACTATGCTACAACTCTTTATATATTCAAGTGGCATGGTATTTTTAGCTTTAAGAAATACTAGAACATATGAGACTATACGTAAGTCATAAAAAGTCTACATATTGTCCACATTAAATTTCCACAGGAGGCAGAAATAATAGCTTCCCCATTTAATATGAATGAGTTAAGAGTTCAAAATACTGCCAAGTTAGAGTTCAAAATACTAGATCTGGAAGGTAACAAGTCACCAGGCTAACCCAAATGTAAACTCCAAAACGAGTATTATCAGCTATGTGCCAGCTAAAGTTAAATAAAAGGTGATAAAATATAGAACAAATGCTAAATCTGGGCTTAATTAAAATATACTAGAACTACGGAATCAATCTTTTACTGCCACATTTAAGGCACGAATTTCTGAAAAAGTAAAATCAGGCCTGAGGCTATATTTTCCAAAGGGGAAAAAATCCTCTTTTGTGACTTAAATGTATTTTTAAAAAATTTCCAATTGTAACATTCCCCAAAATAGTGGTATGTTCTCTAAACGGATGGCCAATTCCTTGATTTCTGGAGGAGAAAACAAGCCACTGCATTTTACTAATGTAGTACCTTCCTAGTTATAAGGGAACAAATGGCTACCAACAGAATGAAAAGTATGACAGGGCCAGTATGTCCCAGTTAAACCTAAGTCTTAGAAGTTGAGGGTCAAGATAAAAGCCATTGATGTCGTAATAAAAGAGTCCAAAGTGGCTAGAGACATGGACTTCGGGATTACGTAGGATTACTAGGAGACACCAAAATTACATAAGGAAAATAATACACAATATGAATATTTTTAGAATGTTCCTGAGAAGCAGGTATTACCCAGTTTCTATTTCACATATAACCTATAATTACAGTAAATAACAGACCGATTTTAAAAATGAGTTTCTCTAACCTTATTATTTTGAAAGCCTATTTTTATTATTTTTGAGACCCTGTAAAGGGGAAAAAGGAGGGGGAGGTCCATCCTACCTTTCATAAATTACAAAGGACCTCCAAATATGTATGAGTGGAAGTTATTAAAATTAACCTAACTATTAAGATTTACACACAGAACTGTAACTTCTACAGATTCAATAACCATGGATGCCGAAATCTACCCAACAATGAATTTGAATTAAGAACTGAAAAGGATGACCTAAAACCCTACTTGTTTCTTGATTTAGTATTCCTTGATTTGGTGGTTTGAGAGTTTGTTTTGTTCAACTGTGAGCACTTGAGATTAAAGATAAAATAATTTAAATGGCAGAAAAATAATTATGTAAGATTCAGGTACAACGGCACACACAAAAAATCTTTGATAATATAAATTAACTGTAGCCAGATCAGAGAATGATCGGATACATTTAAAGTACAAATCAGAAATTAAGACCTTACCTAGAATACTTTTTCATGATAAAAATCTTTAAAATAAGATGCAACAATAAAGATACATTCTTAAAACTTCTTTAATATTACTGCTTTAAAATATAAATCTTTTTTTAAAACTATAAAATTTATTAAAAATAGCATAGGTATATATTTTTAACATGTTAAGAATAATTTTTTGAAAGATAAGGCTAAACAGGTAACTAAAACAAGTATCACATTAAAATGAAATACCTGTTCAAAAAAGAGACTATTTTTTTCAGGTTTAGGAGGCAAAGGTTTTATCTAGGATTAGAAGACATAAGGACTTGAGTTATATAAATTATTTGACTAACTTCAACAACAATAAGGAGTCTGGCATAAATAAGAAAAATAGAAATAAAAACATTAAAGTTTTACTATCCCTGCCCTATGTTTGAATAATCCTTTCCTAAAGACATAGATATAATATTAAATTTTTGGTTTCTGTAAATATACAGATATGCAGTCATTTATATTCATAATTAAAACCCTAATTTACATTTATACTTTAAATAGTTCTAAGTGGACATTTTAAAAAATTAATGTTCATTCAATAGTCTTAGATTCTCATACACTCAAATTTACCCCACAATTTTCTTTTCTTTTTTTTTTTTTTTTGACATGGAGTCTCACTCTGTCACCAGGCTGGAGTGCAGTGGCACAATCTTGGCTCACTGCAACCTCCACCTCCCAGGTTCAAGTGATTCTCCTGCCTCAGTCACCCTAGTAGCTGGGATTACAGGTGTGTGTCACCAAGCCTGGCTAATTTTTGTATTTTTGGTAGAGGCGGTGTTTCATCATGTTGGCCAAGCTGGTCTCAAACTCCTGGCCCCAAGTGATCTGCCCACCTCAGCCTCCCAAAGTGCTGAGATTACAGGCGTAAGCCACTGTGCCCGGCCTGCCCCCCAGTTTTCATGTCAAAAACAACCAAGTGCTTCTCATATAGGGAGTTCTCCAAAATGACATCATCCCCCAACTTTCGAAAATGATCCCTACCGCTACCATCTAGACCCACATATTATTAATCAAGAATCCTGACCGTTAACTTAAATGTTATTGTAATTATTTTTTTTTTTGAGACAGAGTTTTACTCTGTCACCCAGGCTGGAGTGTAGTGGCATGATCTCGGCTCACTGCAACTTCTGCCCCCCAGGTTCAAGCGATTCTCCTGCCTCGGCCTCCAGAGTAGCTGGGATTACAGGCGCCCACCACAGCGCCGGGCTAATTTTTGTGTTTTTAGTGGAGACGGGGCTTCACCATGTTGGCTGGGCTGGTCTCGAACTCCTGGGCTCAAGAGATCCACCCACCTCGGCCTCCCAAAGTGCTAGGATTACAGGCGTGAGCCACCGCACCTGGCCTAAACTTTTTCTTTTTTTAAATTAGATGGAAAGACAAGAAGTTTCTGTTGAATAATAACAGAACATAAGATATGTAACATTACATTGCATATATGGCTCAAAAAGGCCTATAAGAAAAAAATAGTTGTCATACAATGATGGGATGAATAACTCATACAATGATGGGATGAATAACTCAGAAACTACTAATATTCCTGAATACTGGTCAGGGTTATTTTAATCACATAGCAAACTCATAAAACCATTGGACAGCTCCTTAAAGAGCTCAGCTTGCTTTACCTGTCTTAAAGGCTTTGTAAATTGGTATCAGTAATCTTTCTATCCTCTGAATGAAAACCTAACCTGGTGACTTTTTCTTTTATTTAAGATATGATTGACATGTAATACGCTGTACATACTTAAAACTTTGGCAACTCCTGACACAGGTATACAACCTTGAAACCATTACCCAAATCAATATAATGACTATATACATCATACTAAAGTCTGCACAGGCCTCTTCTAAACCCCTCCCTCCTTTCCACCCCTCTCTGCTCTCTGTTCCCAAGTCTCCAGGAAACCACTGATGAGCTTTCTGTCACTATGAATTAGTCTGCATTTAAAAATTTTTCATATAAATGGGTCATACATATATATGTGTTTTTTACCTGGCTTGTTTTTTTCTCACTGAACTTTGTTTTAATGGGTCTCAAAATTCTGTGACAGAATTTCAGTCAAGTTGTTTCCATTAAAATGTACTGATTTAAAAAACTAGTAACTTAACCACATGCAAAAAAAAAAAAAAAAAAAGAAAGAAAGAAAAGAAAGAAACAAAAATGAATTAGTTCACAAAACATTCTCCTTTCCTTCTGAAGGTTTTAAGATGCACTGTTATCTTTAACCAGTCTTTTACAATTAAACTTAAATGGCCAATTGAAACTAACAGTCCTGAGACCATTCTTCCACCACTGATTAAGACTAGAGTGGCAGGAATTAGGGATAATACTCATTTAGCCTTCTGAGATTTCTGGGCAAACCTGGTGACCTTGCCAGCTCCCACAGCCTTCTTGTCCACTGCTTTGATGACACCCACAGCAACTGTCTGTCTCACACCTCCAACAGCAAAACGACTCAGAGGAGGATGGTCTGAGAAGCTCTCAACACACATGGGTTTGCCAGGAACCATATCAACAATGGCAGCATCACCAGACTTCAAGAATTTAGGGCCTTCTTCCAACTTCTTACCAGAATGGCAATCAATCTTTACCTCCAGCTCAGTAAACCTGCATGCAACCTGAGCTGTGTGGCAATTCAGTACAAGGGCATAGCCAACACTGATTTAGCCTGGATGGTTCAGAATAATCGACTGAGCAGTAAGGTCAATTGCCTTCATTCGTGGGTCATTTTTGCTGTCAGCAGCAACACTGCCACAACAAACATCTTGGATTGACACATTCTTAACACTGAAGCCCATAATGTCTCCAAGAGGAGCTTCACTCAAAGCTCCATGGTGCATTTCAACAGACTTCAGTTGTAATGTTGACTGGAGCAAAGGTGACCACCACAATGGGTTTGAGAACACCAATCTCCACTTGGCCCATAGACACAGTACCAATACCACCAATTTTGTAGACATCCTGGAGAGGCAGGCGCAAGGACTCGTCAGTTGGACAAGCTAGTGGAAGGATGCAGTCCAGACCCTCAAGAAGTATGGTTCCACTGGCACTGCCATCTTTACGGGTGACTTTCCATTTGAACCAAGGCATGTTAGCACTTGGCTCCAGCATGCTGTCACAATTCCAGCCAGCAACTGGCACAAATGCTACTATGTCAGGATTGTAGCCAATTTTCTTAATATAAGTGCTGACTTCCTTAATTATTTCCTCATCTCTCTTCTGGCTTTAAGGTGGCTCCGTGGAATCCATTTTGTTAACACCAACAATTAGTTGTTTCACACCCAGTGTGTAAGCCAGAAGGGCATGGTCACCAGCCTGCCCATTCTTGGAGATACCAGCTTCAATTTCACCAACACCAGCAGCAATAATCAGTACAGCACAGTCAGCCTGAGACGTCCCAGGAATCACGTTTTCGATGAAGTCTCTGTGTCCGGGGGCATCAATGACAGAATTTGTTGGTCTCAAATTTCTACAGGGAGGTATCAATAGTGAGATCACGTTCATGCTCAGCTTTCAGTTTATCCAAGACCCAGGAATACCTGAAGGAGCCCTTTCCCATCTCAGCAGCCTCCTTTTCCAATTTTTCAATGATTCTTTTGTTAATTCCACCACATTTGTAGATCAGATGGCCAGCAGTGGTGGACTTGCCTTGAATCTATGTGTCCAATGAAGACAATGTTGATAAAAGTCTCTTCCCATTTTGGCTTTTAGGGGTAGTTTTCACGACACCTGTGTTCTGGTGGCAAACCTGTTGCAAAAAAGCTGATTGGCTTCTTTCACTCAGCATAAAGATTCACCCATGTCACTTCATCTATCAATACTTCATTTGTATTGCTTACGAGTATTCAACATTATCAATATACTACAATTTGTTTATCCTTTCATCCATTAGATACTGAGATTGTTTCCAGGTTTTGGCTATTACAAACAAAGCTGCTGTGAAGATCTGTACACAAGCCTTTGTACACAAATACATGTTTCATTTGTATACAAATACACGTTTCGTTATTCTTGGTTAAAAACGTACCAGTGAATGATTTGGGCATGTAATACGTACGTATATGTAACATTTTTAAGTTAGTAGACTGTTTTCCAAAGTAGTTGTGACTTTTTTTTTTTTTTTTTGGAGACAGGTTATTGCTTTGTCACCCAGGCTGGAGTGCACTGGAAAGATCACTGCTCACTACAGCTGCTCAAGCAATCCTCCAGCCTAGTTGTATTATTTTATTATGTCCACCAGCACTGTATAAGAGATCAAGTTGCACTATGTCCTCAGGAATACATGCTTTGGTTGGTCTTTTTCATTTTAGACATTCTAATAGGTGTGTAGTGGTATCTCATTGTGGTTTTAATTAGCATTTCACAAATAACTTATTTGTCATTTTATATCTTCTTTGAAGTGTTCACATTTTTTGACTACTTTTATTGAGTTTTGAAATTTTCTATTACGAAGTTGTGAGAATTCACCAAATAGTCTGGATTGAAGTCCTCCCTCAACCCCCGCCCCTTTTTTTTGCTTTTTTTCAAAAAAAAAATCTTTTGACACAGTGTAAAACTCATAAGAAATGTTACCTTTCACCTCGTTTCATGATAGGTAACATCTTACATAACCATAGTACGTTTTCAAAACCATAAACACTGGTGCAATAATTTTAGCTAAACTGACGACCTTGTTCGAATTTTACCAGTTTTTGAGTGCAAAAATGCACTCAATTTGACTGCATTTTTGCAGGATATTTTTCCAAGTACGGAATTCTAGGGTGACACTTTTTTTTCCTTCCTGTATTTTAAAGACACTGTTATACTGTCTACGATTTGTGTTACTTCCAGTGAGAAATCAGCTATCAGTACTGTCGTTTCTTAGCATCTGCAGGAGATTGGTTCCAGGACCCTCCTCCAGTCCCTCCACAGATACCAAAATCCACAGGTAATCAAGTTCCTCATATTAAATGCCTAATAGTTATATGTAGTCTATGCACATAGGTGTATACTCCTATATACCTTAAATCATCTCTAGATTACTTATACCTAATGAAATACAAATGCTATATGTTACATGGTATTTATTATTTGTATTATTTTTATTGTTGTATGATTTTTTTTTTGGTGTTTAGGTTTTTTTTTTTTTTTCCCGTCCATGATTGGTTGAATCCAAGAATGTAGAACCCATGGATATGGAAAGCCAATGGTATAGCTGTTCCGCAAAAATGGTTTTGTTTTTTTGGCATGGCTGCTTCTTTGATGCACCTTGGTGTAATTTTCTTCATGTTTATTTTGCCTGTGATTCACTGGACACCTTGAGTCTGTGGGTTTACAGCTTCATCAAGTTTGGAAAATGTTGCCCAATATTTCTTAAAATACTTTTTCTCTACATCCCACCAGCCCCATCAGAACTCCAATTATTCAGATATTAGGTCACTTGATGTTATCCCATGGCTCACATTTTCTCTGCATGTGGTTTTTTGGGGCAGTTTCTATTGCTATGCCTTCAAGTTCACTAAACAGTTCTGCAAGTTCTACTGCCATTAATCCCATAAAACATATTTTTCATTTCAGACACTATAGCTTTAAACTTTCGAAGTCTGATTTGGATTTCTCATATGTGTAAATATGTTTCATTCCTGTACTAACATGTTTAATCTTTCCTCTAAGCTTCCTCAACATATGAAATAGTTATAATAATTATTGTTGATGTTCTTATATAACTATCTCTGAATCATTTCTGCATCAGTTTTGAATGATTATATTTTCTTTTCTTTATGGGTCTTACTTTCCTTCTTTGCCTGTTTGGTAACTTTTGATTACATGGTAAATAATGTGACTTTTATCTGCTGGGTGGTGGATATTTTTGTATTCCTGCAAACCTGGACCTTTGCTCTTCGTTGTAGTTAAACTGCTTAAAAATTAGTTTGATTCTTCCAGGTCTTGCTTTTAAGTTTTGTTAGGAGGAACCAGGGAAGAATTTATTCTAAGGCTAATTTGACGCCACTACTGAGGCAAATGCCTTCCAATTAGCCTTACTTGGTGCTTCGTGAGTTATGAAGTTTTCCATGTTGGCTGGTGAGAACAGGAACTACTCCGGGTCATGTACAGATCTGAGGATTGTTGACTGTGATCTTCTTGGCAACTTCTTTTTCCAGCTCTGGTAGCCTCTTCATTCACATCCTGAATTCACATCAGCTAAAGATTCAAGAGGGATCCCTTAGCAAATTGCCAGAGTTCTCTCTGTATGTGAGCTCTCTCCTCTTCAGTATGTTTTCTTGTACGCTATTGCCACCTTGGCCACTGTGGACTTCCAGTTTGGTCTCCTCAATTCAGACACATCAGCAGGCTCCACCTGATGTCCCCCTTTCTGTACAAGGTTGGGAAACTCTCCCAAGGTAGTAAGCTGGGTTAATCACAAGGTTCACCTCATTTGTTTTCCATCTCCCGGGGATCACTGTCCTTCACTGTCTGATATCTAATGTCTTGAAAACTGTTGTTACATATGTCTTGCTCAGCTTGTTAGCTGCTTCTGAAGAGAGAGTAAGTTTAATCCCTGTTCTTTCACCTTGGCCAGAACTTAGTGGTAATGTTTTGAAAACATTAAGGAATTCTCTGACTTTGAGTTATCAATATATAAAATTTAGCTAACTGTTTTTGGTTAAACATCCAGTAGTAGAGAGGCAAGCTACAAGTATCATTTCAAATAACTTGTGAGCAATTCAGTCTACTTTCTTATAAAGTTGGTTTTTCAAGTTTTGTTGTGCTTTCCTTATAATCTCTTTCCTAAAAAGACAAATTATGTCACACGCACAGTACAACTAACTGTCCTTTTGATAATGCCCACCACATCTTTGAAGCAACAAGTCAGAGAGTCTATTTTACATAAATATTTCTCCAATACAATTATGTCTACCCATGCCACTGGGAGTGACTTGGCAACAGCAATGAGTAGTGAATTATTTGGAAAAGCAAAAGAGAGGGTACCAATAATGAGAGAGAAAGATAGGCCTGCAGAATTTTTTTTGCCTTGTTAAAGTGATCTAAAAAGACATAAAAAGATGAGACCCAGACAGGCACGGCTGCTCACACCTCTAATCCTACAACTTTGGGAGGCCAAGGCGGGAGGACTGCTCAAGGCCAAGAGTCTGAGACCAGCCTGGGCAACAAGAGACTCTCTCTCCACCAAAATAAATAAATAAATAAATAAATAAATAAAATAAAATAAAATAAAATAAAATTTTTTTCATTAGCCAGGTGTGGTGGTATGCACCTGTGGTCCCAGCTATTCAGGAGAATTTCTTGAGCCCAGGACGTGAAGGCTGCAGTGAGCCATCTCTACACCACCACCCTCCAGCCTGCGTGACAGAGTAAGACCCTGTCTCAAAAAAAAATAAAGATGAGATTTGTGGACATAAAGAGCAGCCCAACTGAGACCTAATTTTACCAGTCTTCAGTGTTAATAAACAACACAGGATAAAGAGGAACAGAGGGAGATGGAAAGGAGAAGTCAGATGGTTAACAAGAATCCCCAAGTTCACATAATGTTTTTGTTGTTGTTGTTATTTAATGAATTGTTATTTCCACTTATTTCAAGCACATACAAATATGGCCAATTTAAAATTTATTATCAAAATATACTCAACTTCTGGGTTAGTAAGAAGCTGACCTATTTAAAACCTGCGAAGTTTAATCTTAAAAAAAAAAAGTTAAAAGTGACACCTTAATACAATGACTATTGTAAAATTAGTCTAATAATATAGTTTATAAACTTTCTGAAGCAAACTAGGCCCTCTGATTTAAGCATCTCAATAAAGGAAATATAATTTTCTAAATCAGATAAAATTGGTGGAGACAGCAGAAGAAAGCTAATTACCAATATTTCCAAAAGATTCACATTAGTGTTCTTCTAAACAAAAGTTCTCCGATTTATAACTCGACAATCTTAAAAGGAAAGTAGCATGTGTATGTTGGAACCTGGCAAATGAAGATCAATTAGTAATAAGCTTTACATTATAATGAGATGAAAACAAAAATTTTTATGATCTCAGCATAAAGCAATTCTCTGTACGTAACAGCTTGAAACTATAGACACGTAAATTTCCAAAGACAGTTGTTAGCTCATCCTTTACAAAGTTTACCAGAAATGGATAATACTATAAACATTTCTAACAATCTCCTGGTGTACCTTTTATGAGAACAGTTTGATAATATTACCAAAATGAAAAATAAGACCATGCAGTGGCTCACACCTGTCAACCTACTACTTTAGGAGGCCAAGGGTGGAGGATCACTTGAGCTCAGGAGTTCAAGACCAGCCTGGGCAACACAGCAAGACCCCCATCTCTACTAAAAGTTAACAACATTTAGCCATGCATGATAGCACACATCTGTAGTCCCAGCTACTCTGGAGACTGAAACAGGATGACTTGAGCCCAGATCAAGGCTGTAGTGAGTTGTGATCATGCCACTACACTCCAGAGCGGTAAAAGGAGAAAGGAAAAAGGGAAGGAAAAGGGAAGGAGAAGAAGGGGAAAAGAAAAAGAAAGGCAGGCAGGCAGGAAGGAGAAAAAAGGGAGGAGAGGGGAGAATAAGCAAAGAATAAGCATGCCCCTAATCTAGCAAACCTACATCTAGGAATTAAAGCTAAGGAGAAAAATGACACATGTAGGTAAGATTAAGGTTAGCACAGCAGTTTTTATTATAATATTTTTTAGAAAGAAATAAGTAAAATAGCTACCAGTAGGGATTTGATCACGTGGACTGTGGAACATATCATAATGTATAACTATTAAAAACTGTGAGTTGATATATTTTTATTAAACATGAAAAGAGCCACCTATACTACTGATTCAGTAAAAATAAAAGATAAGCTAGAGAATAGCAATGAAACTAAATTGCTATTTATGTAAAATAGCTTCCTTATGCCTGAGAGGGAATAGGGGAATGCGTGTGCATGCAGGTGTGTAAAAACATGCTAAAGATGGTCACTAAAATGTATCAGACATGTTATCTGTGGGTGGTCACCTGGCTAAGGACATTTTTGCCTTCTTCTTTGTACTCATCTATAGTATGTGATTTTTTTCAGTAGTATATACAGTCAGCACTCCATATTCATGGGTTCTGAATCTGCAGATTCCACCAACCACAGATAAAAAATATTTGGGGTAAAAAAAACCAACAACAATTTAAAAAATACAAACAACACAGTACAGCAACTATTTACATAACATTTACATTGTAATAGCTATTCTGAAGAATGCACATAGGTTATATGCAAATATGCCTTAAGCACCCCAGTATTTTGGTATCTGCAGGTGGTGGGGAGGTTGTTGCTAGAACCAATCCCGCAGAGTACAGAAGACCACTGTATAATTTTTACAAAAAACTTCTAAGAAAGTTCAAGATTTCTAAATCATAAAACCACTTACACCATTCCCTTTTTCATTTGCGTATCAACGCTGAATGGAATTATCGTAAGAATTCACATGGATTATACAACATTTAAATTCAGACCAAAAAAGTCAATGCATGTAAAAAGGAAAACCTGTATCCAAAGAATAGAAGACATTTAAAAATAAAATCTGATGTGTGCATCTGCTACAAACTAGGTATCCCTAATCAGAAAATCTGAAATCCTAAATGCTCCAAAATCTGAAACTTTTTGAGCTCGAACATGATGCTCAAAGTAAATGTTCACTGCAGTATTTCAGGCCAGGTCTTCAGGTTTAAGATGCTTAACCAATAAATAGATCCAAATATACCACAAAAAAAAAAAAAAAAAAAATTCGGAAACACTTATAGTCCCAAGTATTTTGGATAAGGGATACTGAACCTGTACTTAAAAGAATCTGAAGTTATTTACATGTCACAGTACTCCAATAACAGTAATCATTAATAATCACAGGGCATACCACCTAGTTTATTCTATCACGGTCCCTAAAAGGAGCAAAAATGTTTACTTAGGTCAGTGAATAAGTCGTACAGGAAAGTGAGACTATCACAACATTCCAAAGAGGCAAGAACTACTTTACACAGCTACAATTATTTCTATACTTATGCATATCTTCTATCCATAGCCATATAACAGTAAAACCTATTTGTCACATTCCACAGTAATTTGTAATACTTAGATGTATTCTTCCTAACAAAGAATCCTGCCATATTTAATCATAAAATTTAACATATATTAAGATTTTCAAATGTTTTCCACATTGATATTTTATTTCGTGAAACTGTACCGAGGGAAAATTTATGAAAATACGTAAAGTATTACATTTCAGGAACATATTAGGCCAAATAATCATCCAACTAACCAATAATCCAGGTCCATCCATTCAATTATTTGAATACCTAATATATAAAAGGCACTGTGCAAGGCACCGTGAGACAGACAGACATAAAACATAGACACTGTGCTCTACGAGTTCACAGGCTGACATTTCACAGGGATACAATGTATCCTGAACCCAATTCCACACTCTCAAGAACTCTGAACATCCATGTATGAGTTCTATAAATGAATAATTAGAATCTGGTAAGTGCTAGGACAAAGGGAGCAAACACCTAACGCTGTCTAATTAGGCCATAAGACCATATGCATGAATTGAATCTTAAAAGACAAGTCTAAGTCAAGACAGAAGGAAGGGTACATCAAGCAAGGTGAATGTTCAAAGAGAATAGTCATAGGAGAAGCAAGAAGAACATGGAACTCTTCGTGGTACCTGCATGGTGCTGCAAACAGTTCTGTAGGCATGCAGCAATAAACAGGAACAAGAGCAAGAGGCAGCTTGGATGCCTTCGTAAGGGATTTTGACCTTTTTTCCCCCCAATGACAAGGATGAGAGGCAAAATCAGACAATCAGGTAGTTGCTTGAAAAAGACGACTAGAAGCAGGAAACCAGCTAACAGACCACAATATAATAATCCAAGCAAGAATTAAAGGGGTACCCTACATTATAACTCAGTTAAGAGTAAAAATAATTTCAAACCAGCAACAGATCTCAGTAGCTGAAGGATACGGCAGGTAAGGAAGTGAGGCGTCAAAAAGAGCTCACAAGTTAGACACTGAATGATATCAATAACCAAGATATACAGTGGCATATAGTTGTGAATAAGTGAGTGCCTACAGATGTGTGTGAATGAAAAACAGGTTTGAAGGAAAATATATGGTGTTCATTTTATTTTTTATTCATTTATTTTTATTTTTTACAGGAACCCACCCTGCCTCTGTGAGAGGGGGAGGAAGACAGGCTGAGTTTTAAGTCCTATGTCATGGAGATGAAGATGCTCAGAAGAAACCAGAAATATAATAGAATGAGCGCAGAGGACTAGGAGGGGGAAAAAGTATCCAGGAGTCAAATGTGACTAGGGAGGAGCTGAAGTATTGAAGACATGTGAGATTACAAAAGAGCACTATGAAGGGTAAAATAAAAAAGAGTCAATGACTGAGCTTGGGAGAGTTCCTGAGGGCAGGACAAAGGCCAAGAAGTCTTAAAACAAACAAACAAACAAAAAACCACTAATAACAATCTAAGAACTAAGAGAATAACAGTTTCAAAAAAAAGAGGAATCATCAACTGTCAATTGTAGCAGAGGGCGAGTAAGAAGAATGCCGTTAATTTTGCAAGTTAGGGGCTGGGCACGGTGGCTCATGCCTGTAATCCCAGTACTTTGGGTGGCTGAGGCAGGTGGATCACCTGAGGTCAGGAGTTCGAGACCAGCCTGGACAACATGGCAAAACCCTATCTCTACTAAATATACAAAATTAGCCGGGTGTGGTGGCACAGCCTGTAGTCCCAGCTACTCTACTCGGGAGACTGAGATAGGAGAATTGCTTGAACCTGGGAGGCAGACTACGCAGTAAGCCAAGATCACACCACTGCACTCCAGCCTGAGTAATACAATGCGAAACTCCACTCAAAAAAAAAAAAAAAAAAAAACCATTTCAATAGAATGGTGAAAAGGAAAGGGAAAATACTGGGAATTAAGTGATGAACAAAAGGTGAAAAAGTAGCCACCACAATAATAGAAACCATTTCCCAAATTGTATCCCAGAGTTTTCCAAATGTACTGACCAAAGAACTTTTCCTCATGTAGCATTCTTTGTTCTGGGGTTCATCAAGTGTCAGAAAAGATTTAAACATGGAATGTTTATAA